AGAAAGATCATCGATATTCCCGAAGGTTCATACGACATTGTGGACATTGAGACATTCATACGCAAAGAATTGGGCATCTCAAGTGCAAAGGACGTTGATGATATATTCTCGTTGAAGCCCAACAATAATACACTAAAGTGTGAGATTTCGAGCAAACAGTTTGCCATTGATTTTCGCCCGAAGGATAGCATAGCTCAAGTCTTGGGATTTTCAAATAGATTGTTGAACGCACAACAAGTCCACACTTCCGATTTGCCCGGTCAGCATAACCAAAGTGAGAACCATTCACATTGATAGCAACGTTACTGCTGGAGCTCTCTACAACGACAGACCATCACATACGATCTACGAGTTTGCAGTTGCAGTCGATCCTGGTTACGCCATAGACGAGACTCCCAGAAATCTAATCTATCTACCTATAGTCAGCAGGCGGGAATTGCCCAACATTACACTCCAGATTCTAGACCAAGATTTCAGGCAGGTGAATTTTAGAGGTGAAGAAATCATCATAAGATTGGAATTGAAGAAACTCGCAAGATGGTACTAGTGTTTGATTACTCCTATAAATCAGATAATATACCATCATCAGCAACATCATCAGCACCAGTTCTCTCGACACCGTACACCAAAGCAGTCGTGTCTTCGTAGAGCAGCAGCAGCCGCAACAGAAAAACATTGACATTATCCAGTGTCCTGTTTCTGAAATCACTCAAAGACTACAATGTTGTTAGCACCCGTGTTCGACGTTTTCCGCAAACCCAGACTCGACGAAAGCATCACTAAAGTGGAATGGCGTACCTATTATCCATATGTGAAATCATTCGAGAACAATGATGTCATCGATATAACGGTTAATCAAGCAGATTCGTGGTTGGCCATGTTTGAAGGCATCATTACCATCAAGGGTAAATTGAAGGTGACCGGTGGTGGTACTGGTACATTAACCCACAATGCTGGAGCCTATCTCTTTGATTCCTGCACCTATGAATTGTGTAATAAAGAATTGGACACTGTCAGATATCCTGGAATAACGAGTACTGTGCGAGGATACTTATGTTATACGCCTGAAGACTCACGTCATCTAGCCATAGCAGGCTGGAACTATCCCAATGCTCCAATCCTCAACACCGATGGTACGTTTAGCATGAACATTCCACTGAAACATTTGTTTTCCATCTTCAATGATCATCAAGTGGCAACGTGGGGCAAGCAGTCAATCCGTTTAGTGAGAGCTCGCAATGATGCCAATAGTGTGAAGGTTGTCGAGAGAGCGAATACTGCTTTGCCAGGATCTCCTCAGACTCAAAGTATTGCTAAAATAACGATAGAAAGCATTAATTTGAAAGTGCCACATCTCACACCCAACGATGACATAAAGTTGCAGCTGTTGACACGTATCAAAGCAGATGAGCCTATGATGATACCGTTTCGCCGATGGGAATTGCACGAGCTACCAGCACTCACACAAGGATCTACCATAGAAATCTGGTCCGTCAAGACATGTTCTGCATTGGACAGTCCAAGATATGTTATAGTATTTTTCCAAACGAAAAAAGCCGATAGTTTGCATGAAGACGTCACCTTGTTCGATAATGCCAACATCAAATCCATACGATTGGCTCTGAATAGCGACTATTATCCGCAAGAACGAATGCTATTGGACTTTTCCCGAGACCAATATGCCGACGCCCACTTCAACTATACAGAGTTCAACAAGAGCTACCATAACTGTCAAGAAAAGCGCTCTCTAGTAAACTTTGCCGAATTCAAATCCCGACCAATGTTTGTTATCGATTGCTCGAGGCGCCATCTGGGTCTAAAGTCGTCCACAGTTGACATAAAGTTGGACATTGAAGCGACTACAGGCTTCCCTCCCGACACCAAAGCCTATTGCATCATCATTCACGATCAAATCATGGAACATCTCCCACTCAGCGAAATCGTTCGAAATATTGCCTAGGTGGGTGTTGCTGCATCAGTCAGACGTCAGTTTGCTTCGAAGAGTCATGGAGATCGCACTGGTTGACATTCAAGGGTTCATGGTTGATGGTGAAGTCATTCCAAAGGAAATGACCATTCGCATTGGTAAAAAGACGAGTCATTTTCTATTCAAGCCATCTGTAGAATTTTCCAGTTTAAGCAGAGAAGATAAAAAGATGGCAAATCATGTGGAGCGTTACGTTCATGGTTTAAAATATTCCAGTGGTTATGTGGATTTGAATGAGTTGGATCAAATACTACGAGATAACCTGCAGCAGACAAACATCATCTACGTAAGAGGCCATCAAAAGATTCAGTTCTTGCAGCGAAAATGTGCAGAGTTGGAGATGACTAATCACATTGTTAATTTGGAAGATTTTGACAATTCTTGGTGGCAGCCAATAACGTTTCAACAATCCATTCCACCTTGCATGAATCATTTCCATGGAGGAAGGTTCCAGTGCAGTCTCCACAATGTCGATACTTTATATATTTGGTTATGTAATTTATTGCCAAAATAAAAAACTTTATAATAATTTCAGAGTTTTTATTCATCACGTCCCTTATTTCTCAGTATAATGAAAATAACATGTGAGATTAAAATGAGTGAACATATAAGTGTACAACAAAGTGTCAAAATTGCAATGATATTGACAGAATCTTGATCATCATCTAATTTTGTGGGTGATTTCTTCAATGTAAATGTCTGCCAGTCTCCCATTTCGCCGTCACTGCCATCAGAAAACGATAATTTCAATTTGTAGTCGATGGTGGTCCCATTGACTCGAGGCATGTCGATTGAATATACAGGTAGTTTGTTATCATTGACATACATTCTACTCATCAGCTTCCAATCACACTGTTGTGTACGATTCACATCAAAACATACGGCTGCATTCCTCGTATTGTACGGTATGTTTGTGTAAAAGACGTTGTTGCTCAGAGCTGTCAATAGAATGAAGCTTGCTTTCAGTATCGCCATCTAGTAGCTGTGTTGGTTGAATTCTTCTTCTCGATGTAGGTGCAGCTGTGCGTCTTGGTTCTGTGAACACCTTGTCCCAAACACTCAATTGCTCGAAATCTTTGAACAAACAAACTTTTTGCTCATACAATTGGATGTCTGCACTGAGCTTTCTAACTTTCAACCCAAATTCTTCTAGTGCACGTCTGTATTCGTCAGAAGACATGATACAACTGTTTTTTACATACATACTTTCAACCCACATCTTATTACATCTCTTTCCCTCTCTCTCTCTCTCCCTTTCTCTCTCTCTCTCTCTTACTCTCACTTCTTCTTCTCTTTTTTCTCTCTCTCTTTCTCGTACACATCATCCAGACAAGGGTGTGGGAAAAGAATACACAGAAAAGTCTAATAATTGTTTCTATATTCTGAATTGTAAAAGTGTATAATAGTATAAATGTAAAAAGGAATAATAAAAATGAAAAAAAACTTTATACAATAAAATATGAATATTAGGAATAATTAGATAATACTAAAATAATTGAAAATATACATATATACAACATAAATTATTGGATGAATAAAAGAAGTTACATTTTTTTCATGGGAAAATAAGTCATCAATACAACAGCGTTGGTTTGAAAATTTTGATGCAAAAATACTAAGGAGAAAATCAATCCGTCAAACTGTAGTGACCCCACGGAAGTGTGTCAAATGAATCGTGAATCAGTTTCCGCTTATCATCTTTGGGACTCAGGCCAATTTTTGTTTGTTCGATGGAAAAAACATCGTGAGCGTAGGAACGAATCGTTTGCTGGGCTACGGTCTTTTCTTTCCAAGCCGTCAGACAATCCACATAGTCATCAGAAGTCAACTTATTTTTGACGACGCATTTCTTGACACCCTTGGATTTTTTAGTTATACCGAAATTTTCCAATTCCCTATCTAGTCGTTCTTTACTGAATCCCTTTCTTTCCAATCGCTTTCTCTCTTTTTCAATGTCCCCATCCGTTATATCCAATTTATAACTGTACATCTTGGACCGTAGTCCAGCAAAATGCGTAATAATCTTACCGTTTGCCTCATCCTTTAATAGGCCCAAGGCTTTTTTATTTACTCGAGGTATACCATAAATATTGTCCGGAGCATAGTCAGACGTGTCAAATCTCTCGATATTTGCATCAATCACCTCACTATACACATCGTCACATACAATTTCGTAGATGAAGCTGTCCGTATCGGTATACATGAGTTTTACGTCAGCTCCAAGCTTTGGTAGCATGAAATTGTAGTGGAAATCATACATGACGATTTTCGATAAATCAAGAATAGCCATACCAATGTATAGGGGCTTGTTGAAAATCAGCTCTGCTTTTTTCAACTCCACTGCCACCAAATTGGTATCGAAAACTGTCCGCTGTTGAAACCGAGGACTTGAAATTAAATTTTTAATGCCATAGCGGCCTTCATACATTCTGACTAACTTTACTGTTCTATGATTACGAATATTCTCCATCGTCTTCCCAAACACCGCATTATTGGCTAATTTCCTTAAATCTTTTTCAAAATCGTTTGTGGCTAGAGTCCTCAATCGAGTATTCAACTCGATGTAGGGCTTTAGCCATGTGGATTGTTTGAACTTTAATACTTTATGAATCTTGGTCAATTTCAGACCGTGTTCTAATGCCTGGTTCAAATTTCTGTAATGTAAAGTATATGACTTTTTATCGTACAGTGTGGTCATTAATTTGGATAATTTTGAATTTGGCGGTGTGCGGTGTTCGGGACAAAATGGTAGGTCCTTGTGTAGGTCATGCAACCCCTCAGGATACTCCAAATCAACTTGGAGAATATAGCCTTCTGGACTGTTGTCAGGAATTTGGGTTACATCAATGTCAACATTTTCTACCCATGTGAAGCCCCCATAAGGGAGGGGTTCGCTCATTGCTTTTCCATAAAGGTTATTTACATCGAGATAAAGAAGGTACTTTGACGGCTTTTTTGGATCGTAATTTTTCTGGTACTTATTGTTTGCTTCGCTATACCTATTGCAACAAACCGATACTCCTCCTCTTATCGCCTGCTCCACAAACATCACCATGTCGATGTCTTTGATGATTTGCAGCTTACACCCAGTATACTTGAGCATGCAGTCCCAAGTATAGCCAGGCATGGTGTAATACCAAGCAGGATCGAGGCCATAGGTCTTGAGGGATGACGCACGGAAATTTTCCATGACGTCAGCAAGAAGAAGAATATCGGTCCGCATATATAGGTCGCTATATTCTCCCAGCGATTTCAGCTCGAAAGATTCCCAAACTTTTCGCGCGTGCGCGTAATCGTCGTCCGAAATATTTGTATCGTTCAATTTGTTATAGAAATTCTGAATACTTGGCAACTCGGATTCATCCAATCTTTCCACATTATCGACATAATCATATGGGAATACTCCTTTTCGTGTCAACAATGCAAATTTCGTCTCATTCACGTCGCTGAATTCCTTCTTCAGGATTTTCAAATCATTAACTTTTAGTGTTGACACTAAAGCATCGAGACTGGTTCCCAAAAAGCGGAAAGAGTCGATGAATCGGAATTTTATGCTTGTTTCATCATCATGTTGTGTAAAGGAAATGTATTTTTCGCGATTAACCGGGAGTACGCTCACACGTCCCCGCTTGGAAATGTCTCTGATTATAAAATGCGAATCATATCCTGAGAGGTTGTGGAACGTAATGGGAACAACGAACAGTTTCCTAAAGTTGAGATTACAGGGAGCCTGGTGTGCGAAGCCTCTGAATGCGCCAGTAAAATGGTCGTGGTCGCGTACGATAACGTCTTTTGCCTTGAATTTCTCTTCGCAAATGTGGCAGATGGTTGCGCCACTGGTACTAGCCGGTTTGACTACCATTGGAACGATATTTTTCAATTTGGATTCGACAAATTTGGCAATTTTAGACATTTCGCAGGCAAACCAGTCCATGCAATCTCCGCCCCTATGACTACGATAAAATGACAGCGAGTCATCGAAAGAACATTTAAAATAGTACCCTGCACTGTATGCTTTATGATGCTGATACTTTGAAGTGGTTTTTGAAATTTTGGAATTACATTTTTCCAACTGCGATTCGAAATCAGCATAAATGATGAAAGGACATGTCTGCTTATACACATGGTTCTTAAATTCTACAAAATCATACTTGGGGAATGAAATTTTCTCATTATTAATTTTCTCACATAGAGCAGCATGACTATCAAGCTTCTCTTGACAATGATAATAGTTGAGGCACCGATCGCAGATGAATTTCTTACCCTTATATTTGTTGAGTTGACTTGATACTAGTCGTGAAAGGTCCTTAATCCAGACATAGTGATATTTTATATTGACGTTCTCTTCAGCATTATCGTTGTCAGGAGGAGCTTCATAGTCATTCAAATTTGGGAAATATTTGTCCTGAATTAAAAGCAAATTAACGTGTCGATTGGATTTATGCTTAGTAAGTCTGGTGGGTACTACAGAGTAAAATGTTCGTTCGTTGACTTCTGTCAACTCTAACGCATAAACATTCACCGAAATATCATTCATTTTTTCAAATTTTGTTATTTGGGGCAGCTTCATTGGTATGTCTAATCCTTTGATGTTCAAAACTTGTGAATAGTGAGGATAATTATTAACTCTTTTCGAACTTTCTTTAATAGGGTGCAAACAACTAACTATGCTCCAATAGAAGCAAGCCTCATCATCATTTTGAACGTTAATGCAAGCCTGCTTTTTCTCAATCTGCACTGGCAATTTGATGTATGATGAGCCATTTCCCATTTCATATTTATTTATGGCAACCTCCAGAGAAATAATTTCGCTCAAGGCCCACCCGCTATTCTTCTCAGCAAATTCGCTAAGTTTATTAAGGATCACATCTAGCACATTGATTTTGAACCAATCGGCTAGGTCCGTTCCTGCGTCCACGATGGCATTGGGAGTACAAAAATGTTTGCGGTCAACCAATTCCCCATTATTTGACTGCTTAATGAAGTCACCGGAAAATGTAAAGTTGACTTTTAGCATTGAAAAGCGCCCCAAAATTTTTGAAATTCTCTTATTTACTAATCTAAATGAATCATCCAAAAAGTCGATAATCTCCTTATGTCTCAAATTCAGAATAAGACCGGTCTGCACTCTCGACGGGAAGATTGAATTTACATCAATCCAACGAATATAGGGCTTCAGGCCGGAGCCAACATGTCCTCTATTCATCGTTTTGAAGAAAAATCTCATCCGTTTCAGTTCCCCGATCTTAGTCTGAATTTTACGCTTCAAACCAATCGAAAAAGTATTTCTTTTCAATGCTAAAATACATTTCCGTATGTGTGAACGGATTGATTTCAATACAAAAAGTGCCAATGGTTTAGAATAATTGTTCTTGATCAGTAAAAGTGTTTCGTCAACTTTGGTCAAGGTTTTATTGATGCTCTCCATTGTTATATTGATGATATTTTACCCAAATAAAAAAATGTAGCTTACTTTAATTCTCCAAAATTTCAAACGAAGCTGCTGGATTGGCCTTCCCAGTCTCCACCTTTCCTCTGAATACCCAGGAATATTTCCCGCTACCGAAATATCCAATGTGGGGGGAATGGGTCTCAGTTACACGACTGGGCAGGAACACAACAGAGCCCTCCAACTCAATCAGAACAGATTTACCAAATTTTGTGGTGACCACTTTCGCTGTCTTGATTGGTTGGGGTTGATCGAGCAGGAGATCCACCAACTTCACGCTTGGTTTCTGTTGGTTTGGAGCAATCAGAGGAGCTGCGTTGATTTGAGTAAGATCCATCTGGTGGGAAGACAAAGGACAAAAAACATCAGCAGTCCAACAAAGTCATGATGAGCTTGATACTAGGATGGATTATTTTCGATAAAACTAGAAATAAAATCAATCTGCGATTGATCATTGATACTTTCATTGAATTGTCTCTCGAAAAAAAACTTGGAATGAAAAAGGTTGATGCGGAATGAGCACTAGGTTGTATTATTTTCAAAATAAAATGAAAGGGACCGATATTATAAAATTCGAGAAAGGAATGGGCACTGAATGAATAATTTGCAATGAAACTTAAAATAAAACTAAGAAACTCAAATGGAATGAAAAAAGTCGGATAATATAGGATTGAGAATATAAATACGCACTTTGATAAAAAAGAGGGGTACTTACTATTATTGCTATTAATGCACACACACACACACACGAACAGTGATGATTTGGCTGGAGCTGGTCAAGAGACAACGTTCACGATTGCAGACTCGAGTGTGAATGATGTTGTGTAGCGTCATTGCTTTTATATGCTGGCGGAGTTACCTCGTGACTTGCTGATAGTAGACGCGGATGTTCTGGAAAAACCCATCTGGAACGACTGCTGATATCGATAATTTCTTGCGTCATTCTTATCGCGTATTTTGTTTATGCGACTAGTTGGGTTTTTTGTGGTTTTGATAACCTCCAACGTTTCCTGTTATGCTGCTGATTGTGAAATTGTTAGGTTTTTTGTGGTTTCGATAACCTTCGACGTTTCCTGTTATTCTGCTGATTGTGAAATTTGTTGTTGGGTTTTTTGTGGTTTTGATAACCTCCAACCTTATCTGTTATGCTGTTGATTGCGAAATTTGCTGTCGCTGCACCCGTGTAGAGATAAGCGCGCGCCAGCGATGGATATTATTTTCGACTCGAAGTTTCTTATCTCTGGAATGCATCTCTCGCTTCACTCTACCTCGATAGATCCGTTGCAAAGATAAGCGCGCGCCAGCGATGGATATTATTTTCGACTCGAAGTTTCTTATCTCTGGAATGCATCTCTCGCTTCACTCTACCTCGATAGATCCGTTGCAAAGATAAGCGCGCGCCTGCGATGGATATTATTTTCGACTCGAAGTTTCTTATCTCTGGAATGCATCTCTCGCTTCACTCTACCTCGATGGATCCGTTGCAAAGATAAGCGCGCGCCTGCGATGGATATTATTTTCGACTCGAAGTTTCTTATCTCTGGAATGCATCTCTCGCTTCACTCTACCTCGATGGATCCGTTGCAAAGATAAGCGCGCGCCAGCTATGGATATCCCGTTTGAATAGCATTAAAATAATTGAAATATCACGGAGGTCGGAATACCACAGTGCGTATATACGCTGCCTCATAATGCAAAGGTCCCTGGTTCAATTCCCCCCAGCAGTGACAGCTTTTTTTAATTTATTTATTCACGATGGCGACGTGACGACGTATGAGTAATTTGAATTTCGCGCCGGTTTTTAGTGGGCGTGGCCTCCAATTAAATGCTGGTCTCTGATTGGCTTGCCCTGGTAACCCTATAGCCCCTCTACTGTGTTGTAAATCCAGCGGACGCTGCATCTCGAGGACTTCTTCTCGATCAGTTAAAGGTAAACGCATTATGGTGGGCAGGCCCTCCGTGGTTATCGTCGTCTGCAGACATCAGCAAAAGATCAACATTCATTGATCGTCAAGCATCTGTTGATGTTTCGTGTGAAGAACGAAATATGGTTTATGTAGCATTGCTATTGAAATCCGATTGGATTCAAACTTGATTAAATAAATTTTCTTCCTTGAGAAAAATTCAGGGAATCGTGGCTTCTTGTGTTAGATTTGTAAAGAATCTAAAAGTTCCTCGAGAGAATCGTGATAAGAGTGGTTTATCAGAGATAGAGTTATACAAAGCTCTTACTCTAATTGTGAAGACTGTACAGGATGACGTATTTTCTAGGGAGATTCAGAATCTCAAGGATGGTGAAAGATGTTTCAAGTCACTTAGGAAATTAGCTCCGTTTATCGATGAGGATGGTGTACTCAGGGTGGACGGCCGGCTGCGACATTCGGAATTACCGTTTGACGCCAAGCATCCGATGCTTCTCCCGAAGTCTCATCGTTTAACGGATTTAGTCATTTTGTCGACCCATGCAAATAATTTGCATCCTGGTCCGACCATTCTGCAACTCTTGATCAGTCAAAAGTTTTGGATTTCGTCCTCTCGAAGAGCAATAAATCATATTTTGTCAAAGTGTTATCGATGTTTCAGAGTGAAACCTTCATCACTTACTTCCATGATGAGTGATTTACCATCCTTTAGGTTGTCTCAAGTGAAAGCATTTTCAAGAAGTGGTGTTGATTTTACTGGACCATTTTGGGTTACAATGGGAAGGCACCGTGGTGTGAAAAGAACAAAGGCCTACGTGTGTCTTTTTATTTGTCGTGCTGTGAAAGCAGTACATCTAGAGTTGGTCTCGAGTTTCTCTTCTGAAGCCTTCCTCGCAGCTTTTCGAAGATTTGTTGCTAGGAGAGGGAGATGTTCTGACATTTATAGTGACTGTGGGACAAACTTTATCGGAGCTAACAAGATGTAAGTGTCTATGGCTCAGAAATCTGTTGGGGTAATGCCCATTGAGTGGCATTTCAACCCTCCTTCAAGCCCTCATTTCGGTGGTCTCTGGGAGGCAGGCGTAGAGTCCGTGAAATCTCATCTGAAGAGGGTGATTGGTGAACAAGTCCTATCTCATGAAGAATTTCATACGGTGTTGGTCCAGATAGAGGCTGTGCTCAATTCTAGACCCCTATGTTGTATGAGCAATGATCCCAACGATCTGAGCGTTTTGAGTCCGGGCCATTTTCTGACTCTGGAAAGATTGTGTACTCCTCCCGACGACAATTTAACTTCCCTTCTACTGAATAGGTTAAACAGATG